TATTTTCTTTTTCTTTAGTGTTATATTCTACTTTTTCACACATATTCTTGTAACTGTATTTCATTCTTTGTATATAATTTTCTTCAGCTCTTGAACATTTTAGAAATTGAACTTTAAGATTTTATCATGTGACCAATGACTTTGTTTCCTCAGAAATTACTTCTGTAAAATCATTTTTTTTTTAAAGATTTATCTATTTAGTTGAAACGCAGAGTTACAGAGAGGCAGAGAGAGAGAGAGAGAGAGAGAGAGAGAGAAAGGTCTTCCAGCCACTGGTTCACTCCCTAGAAGACCGCAATGGCCGGAGCTATACCAAACCGAAGCTGGGATCCCGGAGCTTTCTCCAGGTCTCCCAAGTGGGTGCAGAGGCTCAAGGACTTGGACCATCTTCTACTGCTTTCCCAGGCCATAGCAGAGAGCTGGATCAGAAGAGGAGTAGTCAGGACTCGAACTGGCGCCCAAAAGGTATACCAGCAGTGCAGGTGGTGGCTTTGCCCACTGTGCTACAGTGCTGTCCCTGTAAAATAATTTTTAAATTCTTAATGGGTCATATTTCTTGCTTCTTTGTATACCATGTAATTTTAGTTGAGAAATGGACATAATATGTCAATTCTGGAAATGAGAATTTTCTGCATCACATAAATTGTTATTTTTCCTTGACAAAGCCTGCAACTACATATTTATTTAGAAAATATTAAATTATGTTACCAAAGGTTATATTTCCTGTCATGTGGTCACTTGGATCTTGTTCTGTTTTCTCTGCTACGGGTCAGTGTGTGACAGATTTTGTTAAAATCGGGTCCAGTAAAAATAGAAAAAAATGTTAAAGTCATTGCGCTTCTTTAAATTCCTCACTTAGTGCCCTGGAGAAGTTGTTGGAGCACATGGGATTGAAACAATGCCCAGCCCATCAGCAACCAAAAGGCACAACTCCTTATTTTTAAAGGAAAATATTTCCCATTCCCAGTCTGGGACCAGAAAGCCACACAGCAGCACAGGACACTGGCCCCAAAATTGCCTGCCACAGAGCTGAGGTACGACGTATGTTGGCCTCTACTTATACGAGAAACGCCCAAATTCCCAGAAATACAGGAGACAAGTTCTTCATCAAGCACTAGCCTGAATGCTGCAACTGTCTGATGAGAACCCAGAGTCCTGAAATACTTTCCCCAGACAGATGTTTCAAGGTCAGTGATTTTCTTTTCCTGTAGGGACTGATTCCTGAACTTCCTGATCTAGCATGCTTGTGACATTGCTCCAGAATTGCCATCATAGCAGTATCACTGCTCTATTTTATGGAAAGTCTACCACTTTGCTATCTTTTTTGTGTGTCTTTGTGTAGCAAATGTATGTGCTGAGAGGATTTAGTTTATTTTCAGAGTGTTGATTATATAACACTGATATGCACAGATCATTTCGATATTATAAAAACTTCATTAATATAATGCCTACTTAGGGACTGGTTAGAAAACTAAAACTATAAATATAAATGATCTCTTGTCCTCAATATTTAAAAATTTCTCCTTCTGATCGGTTCTCTGTCACGCAATCTTTTCAGTCCTTTCCAAACGCGCATGTCCTTTTCAATGGCTTATTCTCTCCTCACATACAGTGGGTGAGAACCCCATACAATTAGTCCATTAGTTCTGGCATCAGCACTACTCCTATTCTGTCCTTGGTCAGTGTGCACAATGAACGTCTCAGATGTATCTTCATGACCACAGCGTCTCTTCACCTTATACCTCCCGATTTATTCCTGTGTGTGTCCCCCGTCCATCTTGCCAGTTGCTTCCCTTCTGGACACAGTGGTGCTGACCTCATCATTTCTTGAGGAACCTTTTATCATTCTAGGTTTTGCTGCCATATCAGCTTTGCATACTTTCAGCTTCTTAATGAACTTGCAGGTACAGTTGATTCCATATCAAGTTTTGTCATAAGACGAAAATTGTGAACTCTATATTGGGCATGAAATAATTTCATGATGTGCTCCTAACTTACTGATATAATTATTTATTAAGATTATGCTGTGTGTAAACAGAAGGAAATGTAGTTAATGCTGGCTTAAAAAATGATTCATTTACATCAAAAACAAGGTAACTCAAGTTCAGACAATCTGGCAATAATACAGAAGTTACTAAGCATTTGAGTTGGGTGACCTCCATTTTCCCTTGTCTTTTTGGGACTGGCTAATTTAACTAAGCATAAGGTTTCTATCGCTAAAGATAGGAATTCACTTTTTATGTGCATTGCACAGTATATTCAACAATATGCATATAATCACGGTTTCTTTATCCAGTCATTAGGTGATGGAAAGCTGAGTTCAGTCTAAAGCTTATCTACTATGAATTGAGGTAAAATAAACATAGGGATTCCTTATGTTTCCATATGAATTTTAGCATCAATTTTTTCAAGATCTGAAAAGAATGTCCTTGGTATTTTTCAAATTGTTTGGGGTGGTATCAACATTTATGATATTATGCTTTACAATAGAAGAAAATTGAAGTTTTCCATTTTTTATGTCTTTTTCTATTTTTACTTAATTTTTTAACATTTTCATTGTAGAGATCTTTCACACCCTTGGTTAAATTTATTTCAAGGCCGGCGCCATGGCTCTATAGGCTAATCCTCTGCCTGCGGCGCTGGCACACCGGGTTCTAGTCCCGGTCGGGGCACTGGATTCTGTCCTGGTCGCTCCTCTTCCTGTCCAGCTCTCTGCTGTGGCCCAGGAGTGCAGTGGAGGATGGCCCAAGTGCTTGGGCCCTGCACCCCATGGGAGACCAGGAGAAGCACCTGGCTCCTGCCATCGGATCAGCGTGGTGTGCTGGCAGCGGAATGCCGGCTGCAGTGGCCATTGGGGGGTGAACCAACGGCAAAGAAAGACCTTTCTCTCTGTCTCTCTCTCTCACTGTCCACTCTGCCTGTCAAAAAATTATTTCAAGATATTTAAATTTTTGTAGCTATTTTCAATGAAGCTAATCTTACAATTTCTTTCTCAACCATGGCATTGTCTTTGTATCCAAATATTACTGATGTATTTATGTATTGATTTTATATCCTGCAGATTCTCTTATGAGTTCCAATAGTCCCTTGGTGGAGTCATTTGGTTCCCTTAAATAAAGGATCATGTCATCTGCAAACAGGGATACTTTGACTTCCTGCTTTCCAGTTTGTATCCCTTTGATTTCTTTATTGCACAATGGCTCTGACAAAATTTCTGGAACTGTATTGAATAGTAATGGTGAAAGTGGACCTCCTTGTCTTGTTCCACATCTTAATGGATATGCTTCCAATTTTTTCACATTCAATATGATGCTGGATGTTGGTTTGTCCTATATATTTATATGGGAATGATCCTTCTACACACATTTTCCTTAAAGTTTGGATCATGAAATGGTGCTTTATATTATTAAAGGATTTCTCTGCACCTATTGAGTTAATCATATGGTTTTTATTTCACAATTGTTAATATGATGAATCTCACTTATTGAATTGCATATGGTGTACCTTGTCTGCATACCAGGGTTAAATCTCACTTGGTTCAATTGAATACTGATTCTGAAATGTTGTTGGATTTGAATAGCTAGTATTCATCTGAGAATTCTTGCTAAATGCTCATCTGGGATTTTGGTCTCTAGTTCTCTTTCTTTGCAGTATTTTTTCTGGTTTTGGAACTAGAAAACTTTTTGGTACCATGCTACCGTCTAGGGAACTGGTAAATTCCTTTTTGTACACGATCAGGAGCACAACCCGCAATGTCCATGAACTTTCTCTACTCACAATACATCCTCATTATTCACCAGGTTACTGAGGCTCTGGGTTGTTGACACATTCCTTCCACCCAGAGAAATCTAAACTATAGGTTGATTGAATTCTTCCTCTAGATGCATACTCGGGGTACCTAAGATATCTTCCTAGAAGGTAAAATTGAGAAAACTTTCTGTCACACACCATGATAAAGATGTTCAACTCCACAACTTCATTGAAATTCTTCTATGTGGTGTCTCTCACCCTGCGGAGTCTTGTCTGGAGATATAAGTATAAGCAAGCACAGAACAGTACTCAAAGACCTCACCCAAATTAGTGACTAGTTGAGTAAAGATAATCAGTTTCCATTGTTTTTAGTGCTGTACGAGAGGGATGCATACTCTGCAGGGGGTAGGGAGGAAGTATGGAGAAAAGATACCTGGTTCTTGCTCTCTCATATCCAATTGTGAGGCATGGTGTGGAGTACCCAACATTCTGATAGTAAAGATGACATTTCATCTGCCCCAAAAGAAATAGACGTAATGGACGGAAGAGAAATGAAGCACAGTATTAAGGACATAATGAATGAAAGGATCAGAAAACTGTTCTTATGCGGTCAGAAAAAACAGTAGAATGCAAAACCTGAAATTTGATTGTGCATCAAAGTTGCTGAAAAATGTGCATGGCTAGGGCTAAGAGGAGAGAGAAGTGTGCCAGACCTTATACATTTGTCTATACAAACCTTTCCAAACTTCCATCCATGCATCCATCCACACATCCACGCATCCATCAATTACCGTCTATTTTCTTTGTACCAGTTACTAACACAGTGTTTGTTACATTCAGAGTTAAGACTGCAAGTGATTGCCCTCTGTTATATATTAATGTTAGCCATCACAAAACACACCGGACACCAGAGTAAGGGAAAGGGTTTATTGGGGAACATCCTACAAACCGGAGTGAAGGGGCAGCGAAGGAAAAAGAGAATGCATGTCTGGGATGGAGGTCTAATATAGTTTTTCCAGGGGGTGGGCAGTGAGGTAGGAATTAGCTAATCCCATTAAGTTGGGGGTGGAGCTTGGCACAGGTAGTTTGGGCCATGTGTCTACCTGGATTTCAGTAATGGTGGCCGGTACCGGGGCATAGAATGTCAGTAATGGCGGCGAGTACCGGGGCATAGAATGTAGATCGCGCCACAGATAAGAGACTGCACCTGTGCCAGTTTACTAACACCTCTCTCTGTTTGTTATTTTCAGGAAAACGGATCTGTGTGGGAGAAGGCCTGGCCTCCATTTTGCAGAACTTTGAACTGCAATCTCCGGTTGAGCCAAAGGACCTGGACATCACTGCAGCTGTCAATGGATTTGTTTCTGTGCCACCTTCATACCAGCTATGCTTCATTCCTATTTGAAAGAGAATAAACTCTCTGCCTCTGTGCTGTTGTCTGCAACTCCCTCTCTTCAGAGGCATTGTCTATCCATTAACTCCTATAATGATTAATCATTTTATTTCGTTTCCTCCACTTCAATCCATGATGCATGATCAGCCCTCACGGTTGGTGCAGGTTGCTTACAGGTGGGGCTCAGCTCAGTAACCTCCATGGTGTGGTGTGATGCAACTAGCCATTGTGTCACATGGGTCTCTGCACCAGACAGGGACATGATGCATGGACTTCATTCTGTTGAGGATCTGCACTTGTGGGAAGGGCAGCAAATGCTGAAGACATTCAGTGCAGATTCACTGGTGATAAGGGAGCATTTCTCACTGCTTCAACCATGTCCATGGTTGAAGTTGAGTGTGCTGTCATGATTCAAGTATTCACTTCTCTCTGAATTAAGACAGCATGTTTTAGAGTGGTCATCACAGCAAGACAAAAACCTGGCATTAGCTTATCAACATTAGCTGCAACATAATTGAAATTCACAATCCGTTTTGTTCAAGTTTACAAGAAAATGAATATTCAGAAGTGTCTGCTTACATGGACAGGTCCACACCCCTGATACATCGGGTTATATGCAAGGTAGCAAAAAATCCTGGGAAAAATTCTCACTATTCAGAAAACAACAATTTATTTCATCTTCTGCAAGAAAGATCAGGGCTCTGGATATGAAACCACTTCCAGTAAAACACAGAAGTCAAAACACAATAGAAACTACTAAGGGCAACTGATGAAAAGCTCAGGATTTCCACAGCGAGCTGTGGGACTAGTGTGCAGAATCAGACCACTTCTCTGCAGGACAGTGGCTCAAATTCAAAGACCTAGAAGCTCCCTTGGGGGAACAGAATGCAGGAAATGTGGAAGCAAGAGATGTAGAGAATGTTGACCACCCAGGGAAGGGCACAGAGCCGAGTGCGCAGTTAGACATTCCAAAGTAAAAGATCAACCCAGTTGTTGGGATGTTCTTACTGCTTTGGGAGATTCCTCTGCTTGCCATCTCTTCAATCTCATGTAATTCTCATTGGCAGCATGTTGGCACTCAGCGCTTTATTCCAGCTTCTTCCAGAGACAACCTCTCCAGTGAGCTCTCGGTAAACACTGTTTACCATCCAGCAGTTTGGAAGGTAGATGGATGATCTTGAGGGGCACTGACTGAAAGGGGTTTCTCACCAGAATAATGAATATTTGAAAGATCTTCATCCAAAGTAAAGGACGCCACAGTTCTTCCTTGATTCTTGGAAATCCGCAGTTTCTCAGCTTCATCTCTTTCAGGTACTTAAGTCCATTGCGGTGAAAAATTTTTAGAAACCTTGACCAGACACACTCCAGTGTACTGTTTGGCTCCAGTCACATCGAGTTCCCTGTACTTGGCCATGAGTCTATTGGAGGTGGAAGTGAGTGAACTGGAGCAGCGGCCTCAGGTTCTTGGGTGCTGTGGGGCAAGTCTCCTGAGCAAAAAGTAGCCAGGGTAGAAGGTGGACTGCAAGGAGGCAGTGCTGATCACTGGCCAGGGTACTAGGAAACCTGGAAGTGAGGAATACAGGAGGTTATGATATTAAAATATGAATTGTGTGGTCAAGGATGGTAGTGTGGAGGAATCACCATGTTCGTAAATTTGTGTGTATGAAATGCAGGAAATTAGTATTCCTTATATTAAAATAAGTGCTGGGAATCAATGACTTTGAACAGTCCTTGTTTTGACAGTTGAGGAGCAGTTTTTTGTTCCACTTCATAGTATTTTGTTGAACACTTTATTCAACATAGAGTTAATCATATTTGTATAGTGTAAATTGAAAATGATATTAGTAAAATCAAGAGTTTGAGTTAGAAAAAGAGGAGGAGAGCCTAGGGAGATTACTGACACCATAAACAAGAGTGTCAAATTGTTAAGTCAACAACAGGAGTCACTGTTTACGTACTCCTCATGTAGGATCTCTGGCCTTAATGTGTTGTTCAATGTGAATTAACACTATAACTAGTACTGAAACAATATTTTACACTTTATGCTCTGTGTGGGTGCAAACTGATGAAATATTAATATATACTAATTTGATCTGCATATAAAGAGAATTGAAAATGAATCTTGATGTAAATGGAATGGGAGAGGGAGCGAGACATGGGAGGTTTGCAGGTGGGAGGGAAGTTATAAGGGGGAAAAAGCCATTGTAATCCATAATCTGTACTTAAGAAATTTAGATTTACTAAATAAAAGTTTTTTTTTTTTTTTTTAAATAAGAGGAGGAAGAAGGGTGGGAGTATGGGTGGATGGGTCAGCATTGTGGGAATATTAACTGTTGTACCTGTGAAATGTATAGTTTGCAACTGTAAAATTGTATAGTTCTGCATATATTTGCAAAAATTTACATCTAACGGTACAGTTTACAAACTTACCATGGGATACCAAATCCCTTTAAGCTCAGTGGTAAAAATAGCATTTTAAGTGTTAAAGTCAGCATTTGGATAGGATTAAGTGTTAAACTGATCATATAGATTGGATTAAGTTTTTGGTAATACAAATGGAATTAAAAAGGAGTGAATATTCCAACATGGGAAGCAATCCACACAGCAGACTCACAGAATGGAGCATCTGGGACTTGATTTGGAGCCAATGACGATGCTGAACTGCAGGTGGTGGCTTTACGCATTATGCCACAGCACCAGTCTGGAACACTGGGATTCTAAGACAATCACTTTTACTGATGTACTGATGACACTATATATCACTGAGGTAAGAATTGCTCATTTCTGAACATTAAAATAAATTTGGGGCCGGCGCCATGCCTCAACAGGCTAATCCTCTGCCTAGCAGCGCCGGAACCCCAGGTTCTAGTCCCGGTCGGGGCGCCAGATTCTGTCCCGGTTGCCCCTCTTCCAGACCATCTCTCTGCTGTGGCCAGGGAGTGCAGTGGAGGATGGCCCAAGTGCTTGGGCCCTGCACCCCATGGGAGACCAGGAGAAGTACCTGTCTCCTGCCTTCGGATCAGCGGGATGCGCCGGCCGCAGTGTGCCAGCCGTGGCGGCCATTGGGGGGTGAACCAACGGCAAAGAAAGACCTTTCTCTCTCTCTGTCTCTCACTGTCCACTCTGCCTGTCAAAAACAAACAAAATAAATAAATAAATAAATAAATAAATAAATAAATTTGGAATAGTTGATCCCAAAGATCATTTTATCTTTGGATTTTATATGATCGTGGGACTAGTGTTTGGTGTAGCACTTAATGTGCCATTTGGGACTCCTGCATTCCCGAGCAGGGCCTGAGTTTCAGTCTCAGTGCTGCTCTCCATTCCATCGTCCTGAGAATGCACACACTTAGAGGATGCAGCCTTGACTCACATTCCTGGTGCCATGCTACCTACGTGGTTGACTTGTTTCGAGTTCCTGGCTGTCAGTTTTAGTCAAACACATCACCAGATACTATGGACATTAGAGGAGTAACCCGCAGATGGGTGGTCGCTCTGTCTCATCTTTCTTTCCCAGTCCATCTCTCTCCTTTTCAAAAAAGATTATCCATGATTTTTATAAACACTATGTGCATATAAACAGTCCAGGCAAGATGTCAACTCATGGGAAAGGAGGAGAAGAAGAGCAGGGTCACTTATCTTCAAGGAGTAATGTGATTGCTGTACAGAGAGTGACAGAGGTCAGAGAACACAAAATAATTGGTGATGTTCTGTTAAGAGTTTAGAACTATGTGAATTAGGCAGAAAATTTCTTCTCTTTCTCCTGAATGTTGCATGAATCAAGAAGTGGAACTGTTCAAGTTCTAAACTGTATTGAACCTGATTTTGATCAATTATTGTGGTAATCATTCACTAAATTCATGTTGATTATGAAAGCCACAGGTTAGAGTGAATCACGCAATAGTGAATCAAAGCACATTCTGAAAATGTTGGTGAACCCAGTTGAACTGAATGCCTTTTTCAAAGAACAGAGCAACACATGGAACACATGGAATCAGTTCAGAAGTCTAACATCAGCAGTTTGTGTGTCTTTGATCTTGGGACTGAATCTCCAGGCCAAGTTTCCTCATCCCTCAAATGGAATGATTTTACCTTTTTTAGGCAAAGTTGACAGAATCCAAATAATGTGTAGGGTGTGAAACTCCTTGTTAATTGTCAGAATCTCTCTATTCATGACCAACAAAACATTCTCTAAGGTGTTTCAAGACAAAACTTTATTTTTGCGAGTAAGTTTAGAAATAATAGCACTAGCCAATTTACAGAAACATCTGATGATATGTAAAACATGCCTTTGTATAAGCATAGTCGTTGGTGATCTAGTAACGTTTATGTTTCAGTGAGATTTAGATTCTCATGAACACAGTGTCACCTCCTGCTCAGGTCAACAAGTTGTTGTTCTTTGAGCTGTGGGTCCACTGAATGATTTCCCTTCCTCTTCTCCTCTATTACATGTGCAAGAGCATTCTTTTTATTATTTCCCTGAATTGCTGCATTATTTCACTTTTCATTTCAGAACATGACAGACCCAAACCAACAGAATCATCCTTGGCTAGAGTTGAACTGGAGGTGAGGGTAGTTTTAGTTTCCCAATAGTTTCCAGCAATTCTCTGAGATTGTCTCTTCTCTTGGTTGTACCAACCAAGCTTTCCTCAACAGTGATTTAAAGTGAAGAATCCTGTCTTTTTCTGCTCATGTGAGCACATGTGATTTCTTTATCCTTGGAGTCAATTAAAGGACCTCCTATTGGGTGCGATGTCTGCTTTATTATGAACATAGTGTGTTGTTTATTGAGAGTTAATAATATTTATGTTTCCTTTATTTGTTGAAGTTGTTCTGGAGGCTGCCTGTGTGTAGGACATAGTACACAAGATGGGCATCAGAAGATCTCATACAAATCCCCCAGAATAGACAATGTGGCGTATTCATTCAGCTGCTGCTTTTGACACAGGCACTCAATGCCAGAAGCTTGGGTTCGATTCCTGGCTTCACTGTTTGAGCTGGTTTATGCTAGTGCTATACCTGGGGTCAGCATGTGATTTCTCAGCTCCTGGGGCCCTTGCACCCATGGGGTAAACCTGGATTGACTTCTGGGTTTCTGATTTGACCTGTCTCAGCCTTTGCTGTTGTGGGAATTTGGGGGAGTGAACCAAGAAACAGGAAATTGATCTCTCACTCTGTATACTCTGTCTCTTCTCTCTCTCTCTTCTTTCCAAATAAAGAAAAAACATGCTTTAAAAGCTATATTAAAATATATTTTAAAAACTCTCCAAAACCAGAATTAAACACAACACCCACATTCCCGTGGGGGCCATGGAGCCCCCACACATTCCTTCCTGTACCTTTTGAGCTCTGTAACCCTGGCCATGTTTTCTGTTTCTAGGAGTCACCGCTTCTTTTTTTGAAAAGTAAGAATTAATATTCTCTGAATTCTAGTGGTTTTCTTTTAAAATTTAATGATGAAAACAATGGCAATTTGTTTAGTTAGTGATTTGGTTATTTCTGGCCTTTCAATATTGATGGTTTAGATTATTTCTAATGTTTAGTTATCTAGAATACTATTAGAGTATATTAAATATTTGAATAACTAACATTTGAGTACATAGTATCTTAATTTTTAACATACCTTCAAGACACAATGACATATATTTTATATGCATATACAAAACATGGATATACACGTCATAGCATATTGTGATTTCTTTCAGTCGTAACTGCAGAAGTGGTCATTATTCACAAAAATAGAATTTAGAGTAATTTTGTTGTGTCATAATTAACTCTCTATCAGGGTTGCATATTGAAACAACCTGCTTTGATTTTTTTTTTCAACTACCAATACATGAGCACAACCCAGTACAATGAAATTGCAATTTCCCAAGTGGGCACAGGAAAGAACATGATGCGACTAAAGAGTATCTTGTTTTCATCTATGTCATGGAGGCAAAGTCCACTCAGAAGAGAGGATAAAGTGCACCGTTGCTTGACACGTCAGAGAATCATATTAGCAAGAGTGGTATAAAGCCTGTGCTTCCCAGCTCACAGGGATCCCAGGAAGAAGAGAATGGATCCAGTTGTGGTCCTGGTGTTGGGTCTCTGCTGTTTGCTTCTCCTTTCACACTGGAAGCAAAATTCCGGGAGGGGGAAGCTCCCTCCCGGCCCCACTCCTTTCCCCATTATTGGAAATATTCTCCAGATAGATGCTAAGGACATCAGCAAATCCCTAACTAAGGTAAGTATTCATTATGCTCCTCTTGTGGCATACAAAGGGAAAATAGATTGACTCTTTTTATAATAAAACCTATTCCTGGATGCAGACTTTTATATATATGATTATAAACCAAAATGCTCTCAGTAAGCTTTGATGCTGCTTCTACCAATTTCAGGAGTAGAGAAATATTTAGATCCCTGTAGACAGAATAAAAATAACTTAGTGACCAAAATCAGGAGTACTGCTGACCTTTTTGCTTTTCAGCCATTTGCCTGAACATCAGCAATAGTGAAGAGCTTCTGATGTAAATTTCATTCAAGCAATCATCTCTTATATATACATGTGGTTTCTTTTTTTCAGAACATCTATGGAAATTGAACCTCTCTGCAGAATCAATAAAAACTGGTATCACTATGGGTTCTGGAATAGTCTAGGTGAATGAAAGAAAGACGTAAACATTCAGTGGCCAACTGGTGGCATCAGAATTCTATTAGATTCTGTGAAACCCTGCTGTGTGGCCCAGAATGCTACAGGATGGAAGAAATTGTTCCTCCCTGGGATGCTGCATGCAATGTCCTGGCCCTGCCTCTAGTTCTGCTGTTGCTTCTTGTTCTTCCTTTTCTTTTTCTACTCCTTCTTTCCTTCTTCTCCTCCTCCTCCTGCTGCTCCTCCTCCTTCTTTCCCCCTCCTCTTCCTTGATCCCCTTTCCCTCCTCCTCCTCCTCCTTTTCTTGTTTTTCCTCTCCTCCTCCTCCTCCATCTTCTTGTTCTTGTTCTTCTCCTCCTCCTTCTTATTCTTCTTCAAGATTTATTTCATTTAATCAAAAGACAGAGTGACAGAAACATAGTACAGACAAAGCAAGACATCTCCTGGCCAGCATTGCAGCTAAGCAGCTTGAGCCTCCTCTTGTGACGCCAGCATCTATACGGGCACCTGTTCAAGACCAGGCTGCTCCACATCTGATCCAGCTACCTGCTAATGCACTTGGGAAAGCATCAGAACATGGTGCAATTTCTTGGGCCCCTTCACCCACATGGGAGACTGGAAGAAGCTCCAGGGTTCTGGAATCATCAAGGCCTAACCCTATCACTGTGGCCATTTGGGTAGTGAAACAGCAGATTGAATATCTCTCTCTCTCTCTCTCTCTCTCTCTCTCTCTCTCTGTCTCACCTCCAATTTCTGTATCATTGCCTTTTAATTAAACAAACACAACAAAAGAGATCTCAGGCTGGGGCTGTGGCATAGCAGGTAATGCCACAGCCTCCAGTGCTGGCATCCCAAATAGAATCCAGTTCAAGTCCGGCTACTTCACTTCTGATTCAGCTCTCTGTTATGGCTTGAAAAAGCAGTAGAAGATGGCCCAAGTACTTGGGTCCCTTCAACAGCGTGGGAGACCCAGAAGAAGCTCCTAGCTTCAGATTGGCCCAGATCCAGCCATTGCAGCAATTTAAGAAGTGAATCAGTGAATGGAAGACCTCTCTCACCCCCTCTCTCTCCTTCTACCTCTTTGACTCTTACAAATAAATAAATAAATCTTTAAGAGAGAGATCCCATCTTCTATTTGACTGCACAAAGTGCTGCAGTGATCAGGGCTGAACCAGGTCAGAGCCAGGAGCCAGGAACTCTTCCTGGGTCTCCCACATGGGTGGCAGATTTATTTTACAAGATTTATTTTATTTATTTGAAAAGCAATGTGATAGAAAGAGACACAAAACAGCATCTTGTTTGTTATCTTTTTGTCTTTCTATTTTATGTTTTTAACTTTTATTTAGTAAATATAATTTCCAAAGTATAGTTTATGGATTACAATGGCTCCCCCATCCATAACTTCCCTCCTACCCACAACTCACCCAACTCCCGCTCCTTCTCCCATTCCATTCACATCAAGGTTCATTTTCTATTATCTTTATATACAGAAGATCAATTTAGTATATATTAAGCAAAGATTTCATCAGTTTGCACCCACACAAAACATAAAGTGTAAAATACTATTTGAGTACTAGTTATAGCATTAATTCACATTGAACAACACATTAAGGACAGAGATCCTACAGTATGAGGAGTAAGTGCACAGTGCCTCCTGTTGTTGACTTAACAAATTGACACTCTTGCTTATGGCATCAGTAATCTCCCTAGGCTCTTGTCATGAGTTGCCAAGGCTATGGAAGCCTTTTGAGTTCACCAATTTTGATCTTATTTAGACAAGGTCATAGTCAAAGAACAAGTCCCAGATATTCTAGTATTTTAACAATTTGATTTTATATTATTTGCCTTTTTAATGTCAGTAGATTTCAAATTTTGCTGGGCATTAGAGTTACTTGGGGTGACTTTTAAGAACATACATCACTAGTGTCATCAGGACCATACTGAGTCAAGAGCCTCATGAGAAGGGCTTGACATGTGATCCTGAAGTCATTTGGGTATTGATTTCAAGCCAAGAGTTTGAACAAGCAGCAAAGAGCTTCGAATTACTGGCTACAGGAAACTGGAGATTAATTTAGAATTCCAGTCCTAGTTTCTTTATTTATAAAATAGTACAATTAAATTTTCAAATGCATTATTTGAGAATTCAAAGTAAACTGCATAGCAACTACCAGCGCTATTCTATGGGTCATGAAAACTCATTCATAAGTGGCAGACATAATAATCACTCTCATATTTAGTTATAAATAAAAATATTTGAATCCATGGTAGAATAAAGAGATAACATAGACAATGCTAATTTCTGTCTGAATCAGACACACTATGTGACTGACATGTGTTTTCTTTTGTGATATTTGTGTCTCTCCTCAGTTCTCAGAACGCTATGGCCCCGTGTTCACTGTGTATCTGGGCATGAAGCCCGCTGTAGTGCTGCATGGATACCAGGCAGTGAAGGAGGCCCTGGTTGATCTTGGAGAGGAGTTTGCTGGAAGAGGCAGTTTTCCTATGCTTGATAAAGTTAGTAAGGGACTCGGTAAGTGTGTGTGTGAGTGAATGTGTGTGTGTGTGTGTGTGTGTCTGTGTTAAACAGTGGTAATGGGATGGAGTGGTTAGAAAGCAGAGACTTGAAAAGCTCCCCAGACAGAACTTGGCCATCTGTTTGGCTGCCTCATATCAGCTTCTTCCTACTTGCTGGGATCTCCCTCCTTCCAAGTTTCTGTTTCTCATTCTGGCAGGAATCGTTTTCACCAATGGAAAGAGATGGAAAGAGATCCGGCGCTTCTCGCTCATGACCCTGCGGAATTTCGGGATGGGGAAGAGGAGCATTGAGGACCGAGTTCAAGAGGAGGCCCGCTGCCTGGTGGAGGAGCTGAGAAAAACCAACGGTGTGCGACCCTTCCCCACATCGCTGACCTCAACACTGCACCCTGAATCTGCTGGCCTGGGAAACCTGACAGAGTGGGGGAGCCTTCATCCTGAGGCATGGCTGCCTCTCCCATGGTGGGAGGGGCGGTTTGGAGCAGAGAAGTGGGGAGTTTTTGCAGATCTGTGCTGTGTGTACAGCATGGTTCTGTTTCTGGTATGGGTAGAAAAATTCACTTAATACTCTTCTTTCCCAAGTTGGTTTCTATAATTTGCAGTCAGAAATTATGAATATAATTTTTGAGTGTATTTTCTGAAAGAACTGAAGAGCAATGTTTTCCCCATAGCCTGAATGCTGCTACCTATCACAGAACATTTCATGGTGGAAACTTGCCAAATGCATATGGTGGCAATAACCCATCAGCCACTTAAGGGACAAGAACCAACTCCCGCGGGCATTCATATCGGCATGCTCAGCTTCACTGACATGTCTGAGGTTCCCCAGGCCGAGGCTTAGTGCTGGACAACAGTGGTGCTATGTGCAGATTGTCTCCCTAGTCATATCCTAACAAAGTTCCTTCACTTACTGTTCTCTATTATCAAAATTTTTAAAAATCGCTTTGCCTTGTTGTACATACTACCTTTATTGATTTTTATTTTGAGTAAATATATCCTGTAGCATAATACACATATACTCTCCCATAAAATGATTTATTTAAAAAGATTTCCGGAGTTCATAATAGCTCTTAATTTCATTTTCCGAAGTATAGAGTGTCTCTTTTCTACTTTGCTTTTCTCCTTCTAGTCTTTAGAATCTGAGTCAGAAATTGTGATTATTATTTCTTTACACCCACAATGTCTACTACTCCATGGTACGTTGTTCACAATGTTTCTGATTATCAGTCAGATAAAAATTGCTTTGTGCAATAATGCTCTCTTCTAAGCAAAGTGAAAAACCGAAAATCAGGTATTTTGTAAATAACACATAGGTGCACACACAAATACCCAGGTTTCAAGGTTTTCCAAATTATCCTCTACCTCACTGGGGTAAAATAACATTTCATCTAACAACTTGGATTTCTGTAAATGTTAAAAATATTTAAAATATGTGACATAGAAAGAATTAACTCAAGTTTTCTAATATCCTGTACTCTATCATGTATTCCTTACAATTTCTAAATTACCATGGACAAAAGTAACAAGCTTCATATCTATATTTTAATGGTATTTTAAAATTGTTTTCAATTCTTCAGCCTCACCCTGTGATCCCACCTTTATCCTGGGCTGTGCTCCCTGCAATGTGATCTGCTCCATTATTTTCCATAATCGCTTTGATTATAAAGATGAGGAGTTTCTTAAACTATTGGAAAAATTCAATGAAAATGTTAGGATTCTGAGTTCTCCATGGTTGCAGGTGAGAGTGAGATCTTTTGTTCCTGAGAAACCATTTATGCTCCTTTATCTGACAGGTGCAAAATTCTACATGAACCAAGATGTGATGAGAATGTTTAGATAGGCACAGTCTCAGCAGAGTTGATGTCAATGAATATTGTAAAAGTGATGGAAACTTTTATTTACACACAGGAAAATGAGTGTCCAAATACTGGACTAGTGTTTGTGTCCATTAACTTCTTGTCCTGTGATTTTTTAAAAATTTATTTAACAGGTAAAGTTTTAACAGTGAGAGAGAGAGAGACAGAGAGAAAGGTCTTCCTTCTGTTGGTTCACTCCCCAAATGGCCTCTGTGGCCAGCGCGCTGTGGCCGATCCAAAGCCAGGAGCCAGGTGCTTCCTTCTGGTCTCCCATGCGGGTGCAGGGCCCAAGCACTTGGGCCATGCTCACTGCCTTCCCGAGCCACAGCAGAGGGCTGGACTGGAAGAGGAGCAACCAGGACTAAAACCCAGCACCCATATGGGATACCAGCACCGCAGGTAGAGGATTAGCTAATTGAGCCACAGCACTGGCCTCTTGTCCTGTGATTTTTCCACTAAACTCCAAGCCTTGTTTTTACAAAGCCCACTTTGATGACTAGACAAAGAATGTCTTTGTCAATCAATGAATATCCATGACCTTTTATTCTTAATATATTTATTTATTAAAAGGCAGGATCAGAGAGAGAGAGAGAGAGAGAGAGAGAAATAGATCTTCCATCTGCTGGTTCATGTTCTGAAAAACCAGGGTTAGGCCAGGCAGCTGCGAGGAACCAGGAACTTAAGTACTTGAGCCATCACAGATGGCCTCTTGGGCCCAGTGGCAGGAGGTAGAGTAGCTGGGACTCAATGGAGCACACAGTGTGGGACGCTGGCATTCACTGCAGTGAGTTTACTTGCTGGACCACAACGCTCGAATTTCCTATTAGATTTCAATTTCATAGCAAAGGATTTATGTAAAAAATAAGATTCATATAAAGAGGATTTTACACTATAAAAATTATATAGGAGTCTGGGAAATGGCTTTCATCTTTGATTTTATTGTCCAACTTCTCTCCCTCAATAGAACTACCACATATTTACAATAGAAGATTCCCCATGATGATGGAAACCATATTTGTTCATATATATAGCTATAACTCCTAAATAGGGTATATATGTATATATAATTCAACAAATTGTTATTTTCTGTTTTAGGTCTGCAATAATTTCCCTGCTCTTATTGATTACTTACCAGGAAGTCATAAGACCTTACTAAAGAATTCTGATTATGTGAAAAATTTTATTATGGAGAAAGTGAAGGAACACCAAAAATTCCTGGATGTTAACAATCCTCGGGACTTTATAGATTGTTTCTTGATCAAAATGGAGCAGGTAAATTGTTCACAACAGTTATTTGATTTCTTGTGCATTTTGAGGTTTATTGAATAATTTTGTATCTACAAGGGATGTTTAAATGGTCAGATAGATTGACAAGCACTTTATATATCATATAAATGAATTCCAACTATCATGAAAATATTAGTGTACTTCATATAGTTTGTGGAAATAAAGAATTAAAAGATAAGTTTATTTTGGTGTAAAAATGGAAGCTTCTGATTTTTTAAAATAATGTACATTTCAATAAGTGTTTTGAAGGTACATAATATAAAATCAAATTGTTAAATGATTAGAATATCTGGGACTTGCTCTTTAGATGAAAAGAATCTACCCAAGGAGGAACATAATGCACATCTCAGGTGAAAATAAACAATTACAAACAACTAAAAATCACCGACTATCATGCTGTAACGTGAAGTGACATCATCACTGACAAGTGTAAGGGAGAGGGTCACATAGCTTAGCCTGGGTGGGATTTGCGCATATCCTGCACATTGAAGGAGGTCTTAGAAATCTGCAGTGCAGGACAGGAGAGGGAATTTCAGGTGGAGTGAGTGGTGTGTGTGCAGGTGTTCAGTGTGCAGTGGGAAAGAGTAGGTGGAAGGAAGACAAAGACTTAGCTCACTGTAACACAGTAACTTGTACATATGTGGAGAGAGAGGTTGGTATCTAGGAGGCAACCTGCAGGTGTGCATCATGTCGTCACTGCACTGTTTGTGTACAAGGCTATTTATTCCCTGTTGTATTACCTTGGCACCCTGGCCAAAGGTCAGTTGGACATAAATCTAAGTTTGTTTGTGGGCTATCAGTTCCGCTACATTGATCAATTCCACTGATGTACATCAATGTAAAAATACGCGGTAAAATTCTAGGCAATAGAATCTAACAATACGCCAGAAAAATCATCCATCCAGACCAAGTGGGATTTATCCCTGGTATGCAGAAATGGTTCAACATTCACAAATCAGTCAATGTGATACACCACATTAACAATTTGCAGAAGAAAAAGCATATGATTATCTCAATAGATGCTGAGATAGAATTTGCTAAAATACAACACCCTTTCATGATGCATATTTTTCAGGTTAGAAATTAAGTCGATACTGGCTTCATAGAAAGAATTTTAAATATTGAAATAAAAAAAAAAGAAAAGAAAAAGAAAATCCTCCCAAATTCTTTCTTTCTTTTTTTTTTTTTTTTTTTTTGACAGGCAGTGAGAGAGAGAGACAGAGAGAAAGGTCTTCCTTCTGCTGGTTCACCCCACAAATGGCCGCCATGGCCAGCGCACTGCGCCGATCCAAAGCCAAAAGCCAGGTGCTTCCTCCTGATCTCCCATGTGGGTGCAGGGCCCAAGCACTTGGGCCATCCTCCACTGCCTTCCTGAGCCACAGCAGAGAGCTGGACTGGAAGAGGAGCAACCAGGACAGAATCCAGCACCCCAACCAGGACTGGAACCCAGGGTACTGGCGCCACAGGCGGAGGATTAACCTAATGAGCCGAGGCGCCAGCCTCCCTCTCTTTCAGTTGTTTGGAATAGCTTGAGAAGAATTTGTGTTAGTTCTTCCTTAAGTATCTGGTGTAATTCAGCAGTGAATCAATCCGGTCCTGAGCTTTTCGTTCTTGGGAGGACGTTTATTACTGATTCAATTTCCGACATGGTTATCGGGCTGTTTAGGTTTTCTGTGTCTTCATGGTTCAATTTAGGTATGTCGCTCCCCCTCTTCGTGGAGGAACGACACAGGACCCTGCGTTGTTCTTTCGTCTGCTTGGCCCTCCCCGGGTTTGCTGCTGGTTCTTCCCGGGTTGGCTACTGTCCCTTCCACCTCCGTGGAAGGGCGGTTCCCCCTGGCCACTTTCCCCACTTCCGCAGGGGAGCAGCACACCGCCGGCCGGCTCTCTCGGGGGCTGCACAGGTGTTCCTTCAGATAGATGTTCCTCTTAGATGTTCCTGGTGCATGTTGTCTCTCTCCTCCTTAATAGTCCTCTTCCGCCAATCCGTGCTCTGCTACCCACACGCCGAGCGCGCCGCTCTCCTCCAATCAGGAGCAGCTCTTGCAGCTTATCAAGTTGGTAAGGGGCAGCTGGGTAGAAGCTGTATGCTCCTCTCCCAGCGCCACATTGTGGGAGAGCAGATGCATAGAATAAGTCTTAATTCCAGTAACAGTATAGTCCGAGTTGCTCCCCACAAGGTAGGATGCATGTGTCCAGAAATCTCTCCATTTCTGCTAAATTTCCGAGGTTGTTGACATACAACTCTTTGTAGTAATTTCTGATGTCGTTTCTTTATTTCTGCAGTGTCTGTGTTTACATTCCATTTTTCATCTCTAATTTTAATGATTTGAGCTTCCCTCTGTGGGGAGCAATCCGGACTAGACTAAGTTACTCGAATTAGGACTTATTCTATGCATCTGCTCTCCCACAATATGGCGCTGGAAGAGAAGTAAACAGCTTCCGCACAGCTGCCCCCAGTTCAACCAATTAACTGTAGGACTTGCTCCTGATTGGAGAGCAGCGTACTCGGTGTGTGGGCAGCCGAGTTAGGATTGGCGGAGGAGGACTATAAAGGAGGAGAGAGACGGCATGCACCAGGAACATCTATGGGGAACATCTAAGGGAACCCGTGCAGCCCCCGAGAGAGCCGGCCGGCGGTGTGCCGCTCCCCTGCGGAAGTGGGGAATGCGGCCAGGGGGAACTGCCCTTCCACGGAGGTGGAAGGGATAGTAGCCAACCCGGGAAGAACCAGCAGCAAACCCGGGGAGGGCCGAGCAGATGAAAGAACAGCGCAGGGTCCTGTGTCGTTCCTCCACGAAGAGGGGGAGCGACATAATGGTGCCGTGACTCGGATATGAAGCCTAGGCAGGGTTTAGTGTCGTTCCTCCACGAAGAGGGGGAGCGACACCCTCATTTTTTTGGTTAGTTGGGCCAATGGTGTGTCAATTTTGCTTATTTTTTCAAAAAACCAACTCTTTGTGTTGCTGATTTTTGTAATTTTTTTGGATTGAATTTTGTTGATTTCTTCTATTAGTTTTGAGTTTGGTTTGCTGTAGTTTTTAATTTATCCTTGAGATACATTGATAGCTCATTTATTTGGTGTCTTTCCAATTCTTGATGTAGGCACCTATTGCTATAAACTTTCCTCTTAACACTGCTTTTGCTATATCCCATAAGTTTTGATATGTTGTGTTGTGATCTTCATTAGCTTCCAGAAAAGTTTTTGATTCACTTTTCATTTCTTCTATGAATGACTCTTCATTCAGGAGCATGTTGTTCAGGCTCCATGTGTTTGTATATGCTCTAGGGATTCCTGAGTTGCTGATTTCCAGCTTCATTCCACTGTGGTCTGAGAAGCTGCATTTTGAATTTGCCGAGACTTGCTTTATGGCCTAGTATCTGGTCATTCCTAGAGAAAGTTCCATGCACTGCTGAGAAAAATGTGTATTCTGCAACTGTAGGATGAAAAGGTCTGTAGATATCTGCTAGATCCATTTGGGCTACAGTGTCAATTAAACCGGCTGTTTCCTTGTTGATTTTCTGTCCGGTTGATCTGTCTATTGCAGAAAGTGGAGTATTGAAGTCCCCCAATACTACTGTATTGGAGTCTAAGTCTCCCTTTAAGTTCCTTAACACATCTTTTAAATAGCCTGGTGCCCTGATATCAGGTGCATATACGTTTATAATAGTTACATCTTCCTGTTGAATTGACCCCTTAATCATTATATAGTGCCCCTCTTTCTCTCTTTTAACACTTTCTGTGTTAAAGTCTGATATTAAGATGGCTATTCCAGCTCAATTTTGGTTTCTGTTGGCATGGAATACCTTTTCCAAACTTTCACTTTCAGTCTGCATGCACCTTTGTTGAAGAGTTGTGTTTTTTTTTTAAGCAGCAAATAGATGGGTTTTGGTTTTTTTTCTACTGTTTAATAAAGTCTTCCTTCTTCTTATTTCGTTTTTTTAACTTTTATTTAAGAAATATAAATTTCCAAAGTACAGCTTTTGGATTACAGTGGCTTCCCCCCCCCCCATAACTTCCCTCCTACCCGCAACCCTCCATCTCCCACTCCCTCTCCCATCCCATTCACATCAAGATTCATTTTCCATTATCTTTATATATAGAAGATCAATTTAATATATATTAAATAAAGATTTCACCCACACAGAAACACAAAGTGTAAAGTCCTGTTTGAGTACTAGTTATACCATTAATTCACATAAATCTGTTCAGCAATTCTGTCTTTTTACTGTAGAATTGAAGCCATTTTACATTCAATGTGACTGTTGATAACAAGTGACTTTGCCCTGCCACTTTTCCAAATATATTTCTAATATATACTTTGAACTTTCTGTGATGTTTTAGTGAGAGATTTTCTTCCTTTACCTTCTTTCATATTTATGACAGTGTTTCTGTGTTTCTGTGTGTAACATATCTTTATGCATCTTTTGCAGGGCTGGAAGGGTGGTGACAAATTCATTGAATTTCTCTGTGTTATGAAAGGTCTTTATTTCACCTTCATTCACAAATGAGAGCTTTGCAGGGTATAATATTCTGGGATTACAGGTTTTTTTTCTGTTAGAACTTGGGCTATATCTTGCCATTCTCTCCTAACCTGCAGGGTTTCTGGTGAAAAGGCTCCTGTGAGTTTAATTGGAGATCTTCTGAAAGTAATCTGGCATTTCTCTCTTGCACATTTTAGAATCTTTTCTTTATGTTTCACTGTGGTGAGTTTAATTACAATGTGTGGTGGTGAGGATCTTTTCTGGTCTTGTATATTGGGAGTTCTGTGTGCTCCCTGTGCTTGGATGTTTCTATGCTTCTCCAAACCCAGGAAGTTTTCTGCTAGTATATCACAAAAAAAGACCTTCTAATCCTTTCTCTCTTTCCATGCCGTCACGAACTCCCAGAATCTGAATGGTGGGTTTTAATATAGTATCCTGTAGATTCCCAACAATGTTTTTTAGATTTCTAATTTCTTCTTCTTGTCTTCGGTTTGATTGTACACTTTCCTGTGCTCTGTCACTTTCAAATAGAAATAATCATACTTCCTTTGTATTTTAATGCATTTATTTCTTTTTCATGTGTAATTTTTCTGGCTAGACCTTCTAGGGCTATGTTGAAAGGCAGTGGTAAAAGTACACTTCCTTGGTGGATTTTTTCCTCCATTATTTCATAGAACAAGCTTTTAAGCTTTAAGAAATTAATAAGATTCAGTTTTGTAATTTTTAATATGTCATATCAATATAAGGAAGCTTCCATCTACATGTAATTTTCTGAGTTTTTTTTATCATGCACATCATTGAATTTTTCAAGTACTTTTTTAAAAAGTTTTATTTATTTGAATGTGCCACACAGAGAGAGAAGGAGAGGGAGAGAGGGAAAGAGAAAAGTCTTCCATCTGCTGGTTTACTCCCCAGTTGGCTGCAATTGCTGGCGCTATGCCAATCTGGAGCCAGAAGCCAGGAAGCCTCCTCAGTTTCTCCCACATGGGTGCAGGGGCTTAAAGATTTGGCCATCTTCTACTGCATTCCCAGGCCATAGCAGAGAGCTGGATTGGAAGTAGAACAGCCAGGTCTAGAACCAGTGCCCATATGAGATGCCTGCAGTGCAGACCCAGGCTTTAACCCACTGTGCCACAGAGCCAGCCCCTCAAGTACTTTTTTAAAAAGCTGTTGAGATAATTTTTATACTGATTTCTTTTCTTTTAACCACCCATGCATTTCTTGGATAATTTCTACTTGATCAGGATGTGTATTCCATAAAGATATAAAAAGTGCAGCAAAATATGCATAACAGAAAATTTGAATTAATTATTTTAAATGTAAAGTCAGCTGACAATAAGCACATTCACATTGTTTTCTAACTCTCACCACCATTCATGCCAGAATTATTTTATGCTGCAAAACAGAAACTTCCTATCCATTACATAGTAATTACTTGCACCCCATTCCTTACCAACCACCATTCTTCCTCCTGTCTCCTGGAATTTGGCTATTTTAGTGATTGGTTTTTCCTACTTAGAATAATATTGTTGTTATTATACACTGGATGTTTTTATATTATATCCAGTAACACAGATTTGTGATTCTGCTATAATAATGTTTATTTAAAATCACATAGAAACAAAGCACTTATATTAAAAATTTAATAATATTAGTTTTACCTTTACCTGTATAGTTACTCTTAACAGGAATATTTATCTCTTAATAAGACTTTGACTTGTTGTCCTGTGTCCATTTATTTCAATGTGAAAGTTGAATCTCCTTAATATTTCTTGCATGAAAAATCTACTGTGAAGAAATCCCTTTAACATGGTTTTAATCAGGAATGTCTTAATTTCTGTTTTGTTATGGAAGGTTATATTTTTCCCAAGGAATAGAATTCTTGTTTGACACTGTTTTCATGTCAGCACTTTAAATAGATCATTTCAACAATTTATTTTTCTTAAAAAAAGATTCACTTATTGATTTGAAAGACAGAGGTACAGGGAAGGAGAGGAAATGAAGTAGGCAGGCATACAGACTAAAATTGATAAGATTTGTGAGCATGAAGACCACAGCTCAATAGGCTAATCCTCCACCTTTGGCGCCGGCACCCTGGGTCAGGGTGCCAGATTCTGTCCCGGTTGCTCCTCTTCCAGTTCAGCTCTCTGCTGTGGCCCGGGAGTGCAGTGGAGGATGGTTCAGGTCCTTGGGCCCTGCACCTGCATGGGAGACCAGGAGAAGCACCTGGCTCCTGTCTCGGATCCGCCAGCCGAAGCGCACAGGCCACAGTGTCCATTGTGGGGTGAACCAACAGAAAAGGAAGACCTTTCTCTCTGTCTCTCTCTCTCTCTCTGTCCACCGTGTCTGTCAAAAAAAATATAAGGTAAGAACCCTCTTGAATTAATAATATTGGGGATTTATTAATAAGCATATGGTGAAATTGTATGGCAACCCAATTCCGGTAGCATATGTGGCACCCCAGATAGCACTTCAGGGGAACTTTAAAGGGACACATTTTTGTATGAATTAGGGGGTCTTCTCTGATCTCAGAAAGCACAAAGAAAGAGAAATCCTTCATCTGTAGGTTCACGCCTAACATGGTGCAAGGCCCAAGCTGAGCCAGGCAGAAGCCAGGAGACAAGAGTTTCATCATGGTATCCCACGTGGTTGCAGGAGCCCAAGTACTCATGCCATCTTCCACTGCTATCCAGGGTACCTTAGCAGTGGAGCACTCACAGTGTGTGTGAACTCCATGTAATTAGACATTTAGCTCTGGCATCAGCACTTCTCCTGTTCTCTCCTTCATCTGTGGGCACAGTGAACGTCTCAGGTCTGTCTTCATGACCACAGCGTCGCTTCACCTCATACCTCCCGATGCATTCCTATGCGTGTCCCAGGTCCATCTTGCCAGTTGCCTCCCTTCTGGACACAGTGGTGCTGACCTCATCTTTTCTTGAGGAACCCATTATCATCCTAGGTTTTGCTGCCATATCTGCTTTGCACGATTTTGATTTCTTAATGAATCTGCAAGTAATATTTATTCCATATCAATTTTTGACAGGAGAAGAGTATTGCAAACTCTTATTTTGGGCTTATATTATGTTTCATGATGCTCCTAACATACTAATATATTTATCCATTAAGATTGTGCTTGTGTACAAAGAAGAGATAATTTAGTTAATAATGACTTAAACCATAGAATGAGACCATTTACCTCAAATGCAAATTGTCTCAAGATGAGCGGGCCTGGCAATAATAGAATATTTTGTACATAGACTTTCATTAGTTAATTAAATCTTCATCTCCCAAGATGACGTCTGTTTTGTCTCAAAAGTGTTTTCATCACAAAGGAGAAAACAGGCTTCTGTTTACCTCCTTTTGTGAAATAGTCATGACATACCTTGATGAAGAGTCTCAAAATGGGATGTTATGCAAGAAGTAAGAGGGTAGTCAATGAGTTTGATGTCAACTTTTCTATAGCCTACCAAATCCAACAGCATGTCGTCTTAATATGGCACTTTCTGTTTTCCCTGTTATCTTTCTTCTTTTTAAAAAATAATGTAAGTAATTTTGGATTCATTGTAATAAAATGCTGGAAAATAATTTGTTAAATTCATCAAATCACTCTTAGGAAAACCATTTGGAGTTCACTCTTGAAAGCTTGGTAACCACTGTGTTTGATTTGTTTGGAGCTGGGACTGAGACAACGAGCACAACGCTGAGATACTCCCTCCTGCTCCTGCTGAAGCACCCCGAGGTCGCAGGTACGACTCAGTGAGTACAAAGTGGATTCATGAGAGAAGCTAGGGAGCCGTGGCTATGGTTCTCCACCTGGTTTGTGTCAACAACTGTACTTTGTGCAGTGTAGTAATCAGAATAAAGCAAGCCAATGTTGCACAGTGCAGGAGGAGATGCGAGAGGACTGCAGACAGCCTAGCAGGAGGAAGAGCAGAGGTGTTCTGGGGCTGTGCTGGATCTCATGGGAATGATATGTGGAGGGACCACATTGCACTTTCTTTTCATAACAAAAAGACCCCATTGAGGAGTAGGTATAGTCTTGAAGCTACCTTTCCTCATTCTGACAATTCGGTGCTCTATTGCAGGGAAAAGGACAAGGAAGCTTTTCTTACTGAAAAGCAACTTGAAATTCAGTGAGGCTTCCTTAGGTAACTCCAGTCTGAGTAGCTTTCTAAAAGTTTAGATGCATAAGACAGATGTTTCTTTTCAGCTAGAAGATGAACCCAAAGTAATTGGAATAGGAGGGATCATTAATTTGAAACATCTATCTGAGCATCAGAAAGAATTCTAACCAGGAGATAGAAAATTGTGAATTGAAAAATGGAGAAAAATTGAATCCAAGAAAGTAATAAAATCCAAACACAAAGAATATCACCAGGAAACTATATTTATGTGCTTAGAATGATGAAAAAAATGAATGCTGATATAACCAAAATGTGTGGTCTACATATATCCTGCTAAATGGAGTGACTGCTGTATGTGCCTGTCATTGTGGGCATGCGTATTTATGGGATAGAGATGGAGATGAAAATTTTCATCTGTCTTATGAGGAAATAATCAACTCTGTGTTACAATCAATAATAAAGAAATAGACATTTTTAAGAAACATGATTATGAATTGCAGGAATGCTCAAAATGGCTACATTTGGGAAGTAGGAGGATTATAAGAGTACTGCTGCAAATTAACACACATTCCAACATATGCAAAAACATACATATGCCAAAAGATAAAAATGACATGTTTTCACACACACACACACACACACACACACACACTCACACACACACACTTACCTGTTGTAACTCAATTTATTCCCCATTCATTTGCAAATTTAGATTTGATTTCTGTTTTCCCTTTTGCAAAGGCAGTGTTTCCTTGATTTAATTATATTCTGAATTTTTTGGGGCAGCACTTAATTACTTCTATTTATGACAGTTTCATGTGTGCCATTTATATGGCCCTCTATGTATCAATATCTCATAATAGTTTTTAGGAGAGTGCACTGTATATTTTTATAGTAATCATATTTCCAGGTGTATTTCTGGGCTTGTAGCTTATAATTCTGTAGAAATACCTTCAAGAAGGTTCATGAAACCCTAAATTGTTATGGCAACTGTGCCACTTTTCTCATTTTCCCCATTATTTCTTACTTGTGTCTTCTCAGATAAAGTGCAGGAGGAGATTGAGCGTGTGATTGGCAGGCACCGGAGCCCCTGCATGCAGGACAGGAGCCGCATGCCTTACACAGATGCCGTAATACATGAGATCCAGAGATTCATTGACCTGGTCCCCAATAATCTGCCCCACACAGTGACCCGTGACATTAAATTCAGAAACTACTTTATCCCCAAGGTAATCTTGTTTCTTTTACATTGAACCTCAGTGCTCTTAAACTTCTCCCCCACAGTGTGGTTCCAGTCCCTTGCCAACATCATGTGATTTTCTTATTCTGATGAACTTATACCCAGCACTATTCATTGTTAGCAATTTATCTGTATATTATCCTGTTATCTGGGTTAATGGCATTTATGTGTTATTTTCCAATTCTTGTGTCTTTAACTTTTCTTTAATAAAAAGTATCTATTTGAAATCAGAGTGACAGAGAATGAGGGAGTGACAGAGATTTTTCCATCCATTGGAAAAAATGTACCCATCCCCAAATGGGTACAACAGCTAGATCTGGTACCAAGAAGTCCAACCTGGTCTCCCATGTGGTTGGCAAGTGTCCAAGTATTTAGGCCACCTTTTGCTATCTTTTCAGGTGCATTAGCAGGAAGCTGAATTTGGAAGCTTGGAACAGCGATTTCTTGTCTGAATTATGGTATGGGATGCCAGGGTCCCAGGAGGTGGTTTAAACTGCTGAGCCACTGTCAGTCGCCTCAATTTCTCATCTTTGTATTATTGCACTGGCTAGGATTCCAGGATAGCATTTATCAGAATTGTTGCTAGCAGAAAATGTTGATTCATCCCTGATTTTTAGGAAAGGGTGGAGTTTTAATATCTTAGTATTGAAAATGATGTTTTAATTAGATTTTGGTAGATAGTATTTATAAGATTAGGAAATCTTGCTTTATTCTTTATTTAAGTATTTCTCAAGAATTAATCTATAATTTTACCAAACTGAAAATGTATAATTGGCTTCATTTTCCTCACCAAATATCTGTATTATAAGTAAATATTTGTATTATAATTTGATTTGAAGTACTATACATTTTTTTGTTCTGTAATTACTTCCTTTAGAATTTTTGATAACAACGTAATGGTAGCCTCATAAAATTATGTGAGAAATATTCTCTAACAAGGTTCTTTTTAAAATTTTTTTAAATTTTAATTAGTTTTTAACAGATTCAACATTATTTGTAGTTTTGACAGGCAGAGTGGACAGTGAGAGAGAGAGACAGGAGAAAGGTCTTCCTTCTGTTGGTTCACCCCCCAATGGGTGCTACAGCTGGCACGCTTGGCCGGCACACCACACTGATATGAAGCCAGGAGCCAGGTGCTTCTCCTGATCTCCCATGAGGGTGCAAGCCCCAAGGACCTGGGCCATCCTCCACTGCACTCCCGAACCTCAGCAGAGAGCTGGACTGGAAGGAGCAACCGGCACTGAATCAGGCTCCTTGACCAGGGCTAGAACCTGGTGTGCTGGTGCCACATGCAGAGGATTAGCCTAGTGAGCCTCGGCGCCGGCCTGTAGATACAATTCTAAGAACATAATGATACCCCTTCTTTCCTCTATCCTTCCTTCATGGCTCTCCGTCTCCCTCTCCTTTCTTTTCCCTTTCTTTCTTTCTTTCATGCAATCCTTAATGTCATCCTATGGAAAAGATGGAATTTCTGACTTCAGCAGGAGGTGATGTGGCTTGTCATGCTGATGACAGATTTAGTATAAGGGTTAGGATTTCAGTCCACTCTGTTTCAGCAAAGGATACAATGAAAAAAGACTTCTGTTGCTTGCTATTGGAGGCTGAGGATAATATCAATGCGACTTGTTTCTTCCTCTTTAGAAAACAAAATGGAAAGTACAGTGAGCAATGAGTTAGGCGACCTAGTGGAGGGGATTATTGTACTGGCTGGCTGACACCCATTCCTCAGATTCACCCTGTGCCTGATGTCTTTAGAGGGTTTAATGCTCCAAGGGTGCTCCAAACCACTCATTCCCTCTGCACAGGGCAGCGTGGTGTAGAAATTTGCAACACTGCATGGATGAATCTACCGTCTCACAAATCAGTGGAATGATTTCTTCCACCATGGGCTAGGGCCACTGATCTCAGTAGAAGTAGTGATCTAGGACAGGAGTTAGCAAACCTTTTTTATGTAATTTCCAGATAGTAAATATGATCTACTTTTCAGGCCGTGGGGGTTCCGCGACTGCCTTTATAGAAAAGAAGCAGTCTTAGACAATGTGTAAATGAATGAGGATGTTTTTCAATTTTAATAGAAACTAAAATTTATGTTTCGTGTAGTTTTCTTGTGTCAACAGTTTCATTTAAACAGTCTTAGCTCTCAGACCATAGAAAAACAAGTGTGAGATTGGACTTGGGAATGTTATTTGGTGATGACATTACTATCCAGTAAAACTGTCTGCTGTAATGCATGGTCTATTTGGGGATTTGCGTCCTAGCTGAACAAAGTTTGCCTGTACAAGCTGTCAAAACTTCACCCTTACCATTCTCTAGAAATTTTATTGCTTTAGCTCTTATGTTTAGACAAGTGGCTCATTTCAAATTGATTCATATTTGTGGTATAATGTTTGTGCTTCATTTTTTTACTTTAAATGTCCAATTATTTGTGTAATATTTGTTTACAATATCTTCATATCTTCATTTTTTATTTTATAAACTGTAAAGTTCATAAAAAAATTTTGTGGAAAAAGAAAGTAAAAGATAATGTACATTTTCCATGAACTTTTTGAGGACTCTTGTACCTTTATCTATGATATGTTAACTTCGGACCGGTTATGACAATTCAAATTCCTATATGTCACCCCCAATAGTGTTAGCTACTATTGATAATCCTTGCTTGAAATGATAATCCTGCACTGAATTGCTCCAAAATTTTTATGTTTCTAATTTCATCATCCTGAGTTAGGATTAAACTATAGTAAAGATCTCCCTTATTCTTAAAATGAAGACAAACAATGTGCTCTACAACCATAAATGGTCAAGGGTTCCATACTTGCTACTGCACTTGCTTTCATTAAAGGATTGGTGATTTTTAAGCAGGTCAAATGTTTATTTCTATATGTCCTGTGAAAAGTTTTCCAGACATTTCACAAACCAGCCAATATCTGTCTGGCACCAGACATGTGAGATGTGTGAAAACTGAACTGAAGGACACACAGCAGCATGTGGCAGTAGGAACCAGAGTCCAAGCTTGATAAGGAGCACAGTCACAGGTTTTGGCACCCACCCACTCACACGCTCACATCTTCATATGCTGTCACAGGGCATTTTAGCAAAATCACTGCCACTGCCACAAACTCATCTCTGCTCTTTCTTGGTCTGTGTGGCCGGGGATGTCACTGCCCTTCCTGGCACTTGAGCTTCCTCTTCTATTGATTAAAAGATTGTCATAAGTGATTTCCACTGTTTTTTCCACCCAGCTCAGTGACTTCTTTATGTTTGGATTATCTGTTTCTGTTTTATCCAGGGTACGGACATCATGACATCACTGACATCCGTGCTACATGATGAAAAAGCATTTCCTAACCCAAAGGTATTTGACCCTGGACACTTTCTGGATGAGAGTGGCAACTTCAAGAAGAGTGACTACTTCATGCCTTTCTCAGCAGGTAATAAAATCCATTCACACTCAACTTCAGAGGAGAAGATAATGTTTTTAATTCAAAATTTTTGCTCATGTAAGTTGAACAAATTTCATGTATTCCATATGTACAGCTTTAATAGCAGAATGATACTACTCACCCTACACTCTGTCCCTCCCATACTCCCACCCTCCCTCCTCCTTCCTTGTCTGTGCTTTTACATTTATAATGACATACTTTCAGTTTATTTTATGTTCACAAGATTAAAACTCGGCTGAGCAAATAATTTAACCAGTAGTAAGTAGAAAAACCACTTTCCTGAAGAATATTGATAAGGACCATAAAAAGTATTCAAATCTCATAATGTGATTTCTGTTCATATACATTACATATTTTTTGTACACTGTTAACACAAATCAGGGAAAACATATATATATTTATATCTAAATTAATGTATATATAAATATATATTTATATGGGTATATGTATTTAATATATATATCTATATTTATCTATCTATAGATAGATAAATATAGATATATATAGATCTATATATAGATAAATATATAAATTTATAATTTATATATTTATATATATATAAATATATATATTTATAATATATAAATAAATATCTATCTATAGATAGATAGATAAATATAGATATATATAGATCTATAGATAGATAAATATACATATATAGATAGATAGATAGATATACTTTCCTTTATCCAGTCATTAACTGATGATATCTGAGTTCTTGGAAAGTTTCCCCTATATTTTCTAGTAATTTTATGGTATCAGGTCACAGATTTATGTTCTTGACACATTTTGAGTGGATTTTTGTGTAAGGTATAACATAGGGGTCTTGTTTCATACTTCCGCATGCGGAGATCCAGTTTTCCCATGACCATTTGTTGGTTAGACTTCCCTTGCTCCAGGAATCGATTCCTTTGTCAAAGAAAAGTCGGTTGTAGATTCATGGATAGATTTTTGGAATTTAATTCTGTCCCATTGATCTACATGTCTGTTTTTGTTTTTGTTTTTTTTTTTTTTTTGTTGTTGTTGTTCTTTTTGTTTTGTTTTGTTTTGCATTTAGTAGGCTGTTTTTTATTAAAACTGCCCTGTAATAGTCTAATATTCTTTAAAATCTGCTATTGTGATGCCTCCAGCTTTGTTTCTTTTGTTGTTGTTGTTGCTGTTTTGTGTTTATTTTTAATCACATTGATTTAGCTATTTGGGGTCTTTTGTGTTCCCAGTTGAATTTTAGCATTGTTTCTTTTTTTTTTTTTAATTTTTGACAGGCAGAGTGGACAGTGAGAGAGAGAGACAGAGAGAGAAAGGTCTTCCTTTGCCGTTGGTTCACCCTCCAATGGCCGCCGCTGCAGCCGGCGCACCGTGCTGATACGATGGCAGGAGCCAGGATCCAGGTGCTTTTCCTGGTCTCCCATGGGGTGCAGGGCCCAAGCACCTGGGCCATCCTCCACTGCACTCCCTGGCCATAGCAGAGAGCTGGCCTGGAAGAGGGGCAACCGGGACAGAATCCAGCGCCCCAACCGGGACTAGAACCCGGTGTGCTGGCGCCGCAAGGTGGAGGATTAGCCTATTGAGCCACGGCGCCGGCTTGCATTGTTTCTTAAACATCTGAAAAGAATGCCTTTTGTATTTTGATTAAGATTGCCTTGAATCTGAAAATAACTTTGGGTAGTGTGGACATCTTGATGATATTACTTCTTACAATAAATGAACATGGAGGAGTTTTTCATGTTTTTGTGCTGTAAATTTTTTTTCTTTTGGATTTGCAATTTTTGTTGTACAGGTCTTTGACATCCTTGGTTAAATTTATTCCAGGATATGTAGATTTTTTTTAGCTATTGTGAATTATTGTGAATAGGACTGATATTATAAGTTCTTTCTCAACTGTGGCCTTGTCTGTGTCCAAATATTACAGATTTACATATGGTGATTTTATACCATACAACATTACCAAACTCTCTTATGAGTTCTAATAGTTTCCTTATATATAGAATCATAACATTTGCAGACAGGGATAATATGAGTTCTTGCTTTCAAATTTTAATCTGTTTGATTTCTTTTTCTTGCCCAATAGCTCTAAAATTTCCAGAACTATATTGAATAGAAATGGTCAAAGTACCCATCCTTGTCTGGTTCCATATCTTAATCGAAATGCACCAACTTTTCCCCATTCATATGGTACTGAATGTGGGTTTGCCATATATTTCCTCATTATGTCACAGAGTGTTCCTTCTATACCCAGTTTGCTTAGAGTTTTTATCATGAAGTGTTTTTTATTTTATCTAATGCTTTCTCTACATCTATTGAGTTTCATATTGTTTTTACTCTTCAAATTGTTAATTTCATGCTTCATGCTTACTGATTTGTATATGTTGAACCATCCCTGCATACCAAGGATAAATCCCACTTGGTTCAGTTGAATACTCTTTCTGAGGTGCTGTTGGATTTGATAAACTAATATTTTGTTAAGGATTTTTTTAATCTATTCTCATCAGAGAGATTGGTCTATAATTCTCTTTCTTTGTTTTATCATTTCCTGGTTTTGGATTTAAGGTGATTCTGGCCTCATATAAGGAGTTTGAGAGAACTCAATTTTGGTAGATTGTATGTGTCCAGAAATCTATTCATTTCTTCAAAATTTTCCAATTTGTGGACATGTTGCTGCTGTTAGTGATTCCTAATGATGCTTTTTGTTTCTGTGATGTCCATTGAGCACTCCTGCTCTTTTTTACTTTCCATTAATAGGATTATCTTTTTTCATCCTTTTATTTTCAGTCTTGGTGTATCATTGTTAGTGAGGTGTGTTTCTTGCAGGCAGCTAATGGATGGGTCTTGTTTTTAAGTCCATTCAGCCAGTCTGTGTCTTTTAATTGGAGAATTTAGGCAATTTACATTCAACATTATTATTGATATGTAATGAATTTTCCAATAATTATTCCTTGTTTGTTTTGGATGACCTTTGCACTTTTACTGGGAAATTTTCTGACTTCACGTTCTTTCTTACTGATGACTATGTGTAAGGCTGGATGAGTGGTGACAACGTTTTTCAATATTTTTGTTAAGAAAGGTCCTTATTGCACCTTCATTTTAATGAGAGATTTGCCAGGCACAGTACTCTGGACTGACAGGTTCTTTTCTCTTTGGACTTAAACTATGTCTCTCCATTCTCTTACCCTGTAGGGTTTATGAAGAGACATCAACTGGCAGTTTAATTGGAGATCTTCTCCTCTGAAGGAAATCAGGCATTTAATTCATGGAGATTTTAGACATTTTAGAATATTTCCTTTATGCATTACTTTTGAAAGCTTAAGTAAAATGTGTCATAGAGAAGATCTTTTCTTTTTCTCCAAACTAGTAAAATTTTCTGCTATTATTTCACTGAATATGCTGTCTAATCCATTATCTCTTTCCACACCTCTAGGAACTCCAAAGACACATGAGTTAGGTAATTTGAGAGTATCTCATAAATCTCAAACACTATTTTTAGTTTTTGTCATTGTTGTTTCTTTTTCTCCTCTTTCTTGTCCTCCACTTCCTCCTCTTTTTCTTTTTGGTCTGACTAGATATTTCCAAAGATTGTCTTCTAGGCTCAGAAATTCTTCCTTCTGCCTCACCAAATCTTTTGTTAAAGTTTTCCAGTGTGTTTTTTTATTTGACATGTTGAATTCCTGATTTCTGATGTTTCAGCTTGATTTTTTCCTCAATCACTTTATTCTCAGGCAAAATTTTTCATCCATGCCTTGTATGGATTTCTTTATCTCATGAATTTGCTTCTCATTGTTTTTGAGTAATCTTATGATCCATCCTACTTTTGAATTTCTTTTCAGGAATTTAATCAATCTCTTTATCTTCACATTCTAATACTGAAGTGTTGCTGTGTTTCTTTGGGGGAGTTATTTTTTCTTCCTTGTTCATGTTTCTTATATTTCTACATTCAATTTTAGGCATTTTTGAGACACTTGTTGTTTCTGGAAGAGTGAAAGAGAGATAGGGATAGGTAGAGAGAAAGGTAGAGATTTCCCTTTAACAGTTCCCTTCACCAATGGCCACAAAAGCCAGGAAAGGCTAGGTCAGACAAAATCCATGGGACAGATACTGCATCTGAGGCTCCCATGTGTGTGGCAGAAGACCAAACACTTGAATCATTTTGTGCTGCTTTTCTAGGTACATTATTGGGGAACTGGATTGGTTGTGGAGCAGCCAAGACTCAAACCAACTTACATATGTGATGCCAGCATCTCAGGTGGTGGGTTAACATGCAGTGCCAAAATGCCTTCCCCAAGAACTTGATAGCTATTTGGTATCAGCTGGAACTACATACTTCCTCCACTGGAGCTGATATTTCCTCTTTGTACATGATCAGGAACACCACTCCCAATGTGTGGGGAGCAACTCGGACTAGACTAAGTTACTGGAATTAAGACTTATTCTATGCATCTGCTCTCCCACAATACGGCGCTGAGAAGGGAGAAACAGCTTCTACGCAGCTGCCTCCAGTTCAACCAATAAACTGTAGGACCTGCTCCTGATTGGAGGAGAGCAGCGTACTCGGCGTGTGGGTAGCAGAGTTGGGATTGGTGGAAGAGGACTATAAAGGAGGAGAGAGACAACATGCACCAGGAACATCTAAGAGGAACATCTATCTGAAGGAACACCTGTGCAGCCCCGAGAGAGCCGGCCGGCGGTGTGCCGCTCCCTGTGGAAGTGGGGAAAGTGGCCAGGGGGAACCGCCCTTCCACGGAGGTGGAAGGGATAGTAGCCAACCCGGGAAGAACCAGCAGCAAACCCGGGAAGGGCCGAGCAGACAAAAGAACAGCGCAGGGTCCTGTGTCGTTCCTCCACGAAGAGGGGGAGTGACAAATATATGTTTTTATTACTCCTATGTTTGCATTTAAATAGACATTTCCCCTCATATTCAGACCATGATTCATCTCTTCCAAATTTCCTGTTATATAACCTAGTGATGGACAGATGTACGTTGAGCACTCAACAGGTTAAGCGCTGTCTCCAGCAATGTCTCTGTCAGTGTGTATTAAATTGTTATCCATGATAGTCTGATATATTATGTAGATTTCTGGGTAACAGAATGTAAAAGCAGACTATTTGTATGTTATTTAAGCCTGTAAGAATAGGCTTAACATTATCATCCTCTCTACTCAATCATTTGACAAACATTGTTAGACATTGTGAATACAGAAACAAAGACAACTACCCAGATTGCTGTTCTCCAGAAGTTATCACTTTTTCTTGGAGGTGATGGGCATGTTCACAGTCTTAATTGTAGGCATTATTTCAGAGGTGTATATATCTACATTAATACTTAACAATTTGTACATTTTAAATGTGCCA